GCTTCAAAACAGACTGCAGCGCCATCTGAAGCAAAGAGCATACTTCCTGCGGACACTTTTTAGGCTGAGTGGCCCATCTTGTCTTGTACTATCTTTGATAGCAGCCGTATTAATGGAAACGATACTTTTCTCAAATTTGATTACGGATTTTACGACTCCTTACTATGCTTGTTATTTGCGTAAAATTTGATAAAACTTGGTCTTTTAATAAGCGAGATAGCCTTCAGGTTCACCCCCCCCCCATTAATCATATCATAAATAAACGGTTATGGTCGGAGTATTGTAAGCGGTGTGTGTGTTTGTTTGTGTGTGTGTGTGTGTGTGTGTGTGTTTGGACCAAAAAAATTAGAATAAAAGTAAGACTATAATAAAGTATTTTCTAAAACAACACAATAAATATGTTTATCTTTAACCATAGATGGACGCTCAGAAAAAAGCAACCCTTTCACATCAACTTATAAATTTTTATTTGAAATAAAAATATTGGTCGAAAAGACAAATCAAAGTTGTCATACATTTAAAACCTCAAGGCTCAATGTATATGGAATCAAAAGTTATTCCATTAGAAAAAAAAAAAGAACATGTTTTTACGCCGAACGAGCTGTCCAGAAGCACAAAACAAGGGACATAACCCATCAAACAAAAACAAGATCTTTAAAAGAATAGTATCCCCTGCTGATAAAAGACTTATTCTTTCGAAATAATAGAAGTCATCAGGTTGTCTAGCTGTAAATTCACACGTGACGTCTCGGCCTTGAACCAAAAACAATGCAGAAGGAGGGATTTACATAGCCTTACGTGTGTAACACCTGTTTCAACAAACACCTGGATACCTGGAAGTGTCAACTTTGGCTTTACACTTTGTCATACCTAGGCCAGTCCATGCCTTAATCTGTCCACACTGTTGGGGGGGGTGCTTTGTAATCAAGATAGCTTTGTTGACCAAACGACTGATGTGTGCTTTCTAAAAATATTTTTTCAAAATAACAATTCAGTTAAACTTGAACTGCCATCCAAAAGACCAATCAACCATCAACACAGTTTAGTTCTTATAAAAAGCAGTCAGCTTTAACTCATGTTGCATCCCCTCAGTAAAACTGAAATATTTTGATTATTAATGTGCTTTCGAGAGAATTGAACTCTTGTCCTCTGCTGCAAAAGATCGAAGAGTCAAACCATTTCACCAAAGATGCTGATTAAATGTGAGGGAGACGTTTATCCTTTAATTCTCAAGTTGGCCTTTTTGTTTTCTTATGATTTGCTAGTTACAATTAATAGGCCTGCAACTCATATTGATTTTTAAAAAAAATGAAGGCACTTATTATAATCTAAATTCTATGTATATTATTTGAATGTGTTTTAACCATTCCCGTACAGCCAAGAAAAAATTCCCACTTGGACAATAAAGTACCATCGTATTATCTTATCTCTTATCTTACTGGCCACTGGACTTTAGTCTGCATCTGCCTGACCGGTTAGTTGGCCTCTCGAATCAGCTCGTTTATTGGTTGGATATCGGGTAAACGATAAGTATATTGATATTGCCTTACATTTTCAACGACTGGCTGGCTGATTGGATAATAGACAGATTGCATTATTGATTAATTGTTCGACAGAGTGAATTTGCCAGGAGCAGCTACTCTTTGGCTTATGGTTTAGCTGGTGAATGGATTGGCTGCCATGTTGATCGGTTGCTTTGTTCATTGGCTACCCTGTTGTAAAATTGCCACGTGTGTTTGGTTTCTATGTTTGATGTGTATCTACGTTTGATGGGTTGCTATGTTTGATGGGTATCTATGTTTGATGGGTTGTTATATTCAGCCTCTCCTACAACTATTCCATCGATAAAGAACCTCCCAAAACCGCATTTTCCCCCCATACCGGGCATGTTTGTCACCACCATTTCCGAATAAAGTCAGTATTTTATTTTCTGAAAACTCGACTTTTCTCTATATTTTTTTTTGAATAACTCCATTATTTTTATCCAATCTTCATGAGTTTTTCACAGAATGAAGAGAAGATGTAATACTAAAAATTAGAATGTTGAATTTTTTTATATAGATCTATGGAATAGATTTTTGTTGTGGTGTCTGGAGTGTGGATTTTCACGGATTTTCTTCAAACTTGAATGCTACCTGAGGAAAAAATTCATTAAACTTTTCTTATTCGAATAGGAAAAAAACAAAAAACAAATTTTTAGACCTAATGTTTGTTAACACGCATGCAAAAAAACCCAAAACCCAATCAATTTCCATGAGCAATAAGTGCGGTATTCATTACGAAAGACATGTCAACAAAATTCCATATAGCAGCAAAGATAGTACAAGACAAGATGGGCCACTTCTCTCTTTGAGCCAATTAAAAAAGTGTCCTCAAAATTTGGTGGCGCCCTCTTCACAAAAGCGCACTCTTTGCGAACAGAGTTACCCTACTTGAGTTTTAAAAAATCAAAGTGAAACTAGCAAGTTTTGGGATAAATTTCGGAAGAACGCTTTTTAAAAATGATTACGCTGACAAAAAACCTCTTCCGGAGGAAAAGGAGATGGTTTTCTTCGTTTAATTTGACT